TTCGTGTCCTTTGCAACTGGCCTTCAAAATGAGACCTGCTGCATCCTCCGTTTGCTGTCACCCCCTCGCAAGTATTACTTATGCAGGGAGGCAGCCTGGCCCTGCAAAGCCCCTGCCTCGCTTTCCACCTTCTTCTTCCTGGTCACTCAGCTTGCTCCCCGGATGTCATGCTCATGCCACCTGTATTTCCGAGTGCCACACCATCAAAGCGGTGCCAGTGGGGTTCCCCTCAGTGCCCGGTTTCAGCCCCAGGGGTGGGACAGGCTGAGATGTTGCCAAAACGCTGCTCCTGCAGGGATGGCCAAGAAGGGCAGCGAGAGGGGAACTCCCTGATGGAGTAACGGTTCGGTCCATTCAATCCCAGCGTCCCCTCAGGGTCTTGGCGGAAGGATCTCCCCCTCTCTCCACTTTCCCCCACCCCCTATTTCCCTTGTAAAATCTTGGCCTTTCCTTCCGGCTGCACCCGCTGCCCATTCCTGGCATCTGGTTCCCTTTGGGGTGCGTCTGCTGGGTCTGTGTTTTTCTTTCTCATCTATCCAGGAGAGGAATCCAGGTTGTGGATGTTGTTTGTTGCGAAGGTGCATCCAACCCAGCGCGACCCCATGGACAACATTCCTCAAGGCCTTCCTGTCCCCCACCATCTCCCGGAGCCCACCTAAGCTCACACCAACTGCCCCGGTGACTCCTTCCAGCCCCCTCATCCTCTGCCGCCCCGTCTCCTTTTGCCCACAAGGTTGAGGAGGGGCTTGTCTGAAAGCAGAATTGGAACTGTTCTTGCCTGACAATACGAAGCAGGGGAGTTTGTTGTGCATCCCTGCACAGGATCGAGGGTGCAAGAAGTGGGATGGGGACTGAGAGATTAAGGTGCAAATCCCCACTCATCCCTGATGCTCACTGTGTGACTTCTAGCTGGTCATTCACTCTCGGCCCATCCCACCTGGCAGGGCTGTTGTTGTTGTCAGGAAGATAATGGTGAGGAGAGGCCAGCAAAGGGCTTGCTTTCCTCATGCATGGAAAAGGTCAGGATGAAAGGGTGATGTGATGCTGATTCTCGTAGTGACAATGATGGAAAGGAGGTTCATAGAAGCCCCCAGCAGAAAGTTCAGCAGAAAACACCTCCAAAAACAGGCACTGCCCAGTGGGGCATCCAGGCTGCCCGGAAATGGCCTGTCCACTGTCATGTTTTCAGACTTCGTACCATATCAAGGCAGTTGTGCAGAGATCGCTGGCCAGAAGTCTGGGTTCTGGCCTGTGCTGGCCCCGTGATGTGCAGACATGGAGCCCCGACCCCTGGCGGCCAGCGTGCAGTTGCGGGAGCGAAGTCCACATCCTGGATGCGGTGGCAGGTCCTCTGGAGCGCCTCCTGGTGCACGCACAGGGCCAGCTGGGCAGCCCTGAGGAGCTCCGTGGGGTTGCGGCGGTGGGCTGGGTGTGTGCAGGCCTGAGGAACACCTTGGGCCTCCTGCGCCCCACGTGCTCCTGAGATGTATCCCATAGGTACGCAGTATGGCATCAGGACAGTCTCCAGCTCAGGCTGCCCTTCTGCTCGGCCCTCTCTTGGGACCCATTTCGGAGCTGCCCGGCCACGGTGGGGGTTTTACAGAGAGAGGAATCAGGGAGAGAAAAGGCAAAGGGTGGGAATGACATGCAGCCTGTACCTGAGGGGAAGAGGAAGATAATTGAGAGGGGGAGCTTTGCTTGGGCAGCTGTGCTCCAAACGGCAATTCCTGCAATTAGTGGTGTTTAGGAATCCGGGTTTCACAGCCTGTGAAAAAGGCCAGCAAGCAATGCATGGGGCCTCCCTGTTGCAAGCCTGAGGAGTTTTCTTGGTGAGATCTTTCAGGAGAAACCGCGCTGCAGGGTTGAACCATCATGACCAGCACTGCAGGGAAGAGGTACTCCCAACCACAGAGTTCCAGAACATAAGCAGAGTGTTTCATGGGTTTAAGTCACGTGCATAACCATAGGATTGATGATGAGGGTGGAAAAGACACACGTTGACAGAGTTTTATATGAGCCAAACCAGCCAGAGAACTTTGGAGTCAGCAGAAGAGTGGACACCAAGCAACTTTCCTGGGAGCCTCTTTCCACACAGGATTAGCTTTGCAACTAAATGAAGAGGCTGCTTTCGGCAAGCAGGCAGCTCAGTCTCTGAAAGGGCCGGATGCCTAATAGAAAGCTCGAGGAGATGTACTGCCCGTTGGCCTTTCTGACTGTTCACATCAGTGGGCTGTGAAATGGGATCTTCCCACAGGATCCATTTGGCTACTGTGAGGTTTCCCCTTCCCTCCCCTCCCTCCCTCCCCCTCTTATGGCACCATCCATCGAACTTGAATTTCGCTTTCTTTTCCGGCTGCCCTATCCCTTGACGTGCATGGATATGCATGGGATGAAAGCCTGGCCAAAACCAGACCATCACGATTTTGTTCATTTAGTTGGTTTCGTTGGTTGGTCTGTTGCTGTTGGTGTCAAGCACACCCTGCTGCTTCCATGACTCCCTTGGTGAATTTTGGGACCTGATCAGAGGCATTTGGCAATCTGGCTAAAAGGGAACTGACTGCCTGATACTCCAAGGGGGAAAGTAGCCTCAGAGGGATCTGGGCAGGGGAATCTCCAGACAAACACACGCGAACATATGCACCCCCCGGCATTCCAACCATTCCATTGCGACACTGCAAGGACCAGTTGGCAGGCTCACGATTCAGGGTTGGAGTCTGAGACCCATCCCAGATCCCAGGCTGCAAGGGAAGGAAGCCATCCTGTCCCTGGACTGAGAAGACCGACTACGCAACCCACTCAGGTCACAAAGCCAAAATCTGCCCCAAGCTCCCTGTCCTCCCCCAAGTGCACTCTGCCCACTCAAGTGTTATGATGCTCCAGGCTCATCAGGAACGGTGAAGATGGAGAAGCAGGGGAAAGACCACGATGGAGGGGACATGACACACACCTGAGCTCTCTCCGCTGCCTCTTCCAGACAAGCCCCTCCCTAATTCCTCAGGGCTGCCTGTCCTCATCTGTGTGTTTTTGCTTCGAAGGAGCCTGTTTTCACAAAAACACCTCCGTGGAAGCCCATCCCATATCCTGGGGTCCCAACCATCAGGAAGTTGTTCCTGACATACAACCCAAAACCCAGTTCCTTGAGCTTTGCCCCACTGGACCGCACGCTTTCCTTACCACAAGGGAGAAAAGGTCATGACCCTCTGCCATGGGACCCCCTTCACACCACTGCATGTTGCCAGAAGATCCCCCCGAGTCTCCTCTTCTTCAACTTTGGAGCAAGAAGGGCTGCGCCTCCTCCTCCCCTGAAGAGCTGCGGGGCATTTAGAAAGTTCATCATGAGCGTCTATGAATGCGGACGGCCCAGGAGCCCCCTCAGATGGAAGCAGTAAGACACCTGGATGCCCAGTGAGCTGCTACTTAGGCTTGTTGCTGAGCCTCAGCACGACACAGAGGATGCTCCTTCCTCTGCAGGGGAGAACAGTTGCGGGCGTGCCAGAGGCGTGTAGAGTGGTAGTAATCCCTCTCTTGATCTAGAAGCCACGCTTCTGGCTATGCAACCAAGGGTGGTGTTCGCCCTCTTGACCACTGCATCACACTTCTGACTCCTGTTCAGCCTGCATTCAACCAACGCCCCGAGGTCACTTTCACAAGTGCTGCTCTCCAGCCACTTGTCCCCTAACCTGTACTTATGACACCAATTCCTGTGCCCCAAGTGCAAGACCTTGCACTTATCCACATTGAACGCCATCCTGTAGTCTCCTGCCCACTTCCATACTCTGTCCAGATTCTTTTGGATCTGGAGTACCTGCTCCTCAGTTGTGGCCTCTGCTCCAGTTTAATGTCGCCTGTGAATTTGATCAGCAGACTGGTCACCCCTTCTTCCATGTCATTGATGAAAAGATTAAAGAGGATTGCCCCCTGGACAGAGCCCTGGAGGAACCCGTTTGTCACTGGCCGCCATCCCGATGATTCCCTGCTAATGGTTACCCTCTGCTTTCGATCAGTCCACCATGCCCTAACCCACCGGACAGTGCTTTGGTGTATCCCAAAACTCCTCAGTTTCTCCACCAGGATATCATGGGGCACTTTGTCAAAGGCCTTGCTGAAATCCAGGTATACCACGTCCACTGCATCCCTCCATCGAGCCATCTCGAAACCTTCTCATAGAATTCCACAAGGTTTGTCTGGCAGGACCTGTTTTTGCGGATGCAGTTTTGTGTGGCTGCCAGCCTCCCTTCCCTATCTAGCATCACTATTATGAGCCTTTCCATTGTTTTTCCTGCAATGGACGTAAGGATAACCAGTCAATAATTCCCCAAGTCCTTTCTTCTACCCTCTTTGAAAATTGGGACCACTGATGCCACCCTCCAGTCCTCCGGAACTTCACCCGTTCTCCATGAGGTCTCAAAAATGGAGGCCGGCGGGCATGAGAGAACCCCTGTCAACTCTGTAAATACTCTCGGGTGTAACGCTTCAGGGCCTGGTGCTTGTTTAATATCCAATGCCCTGAGGAACCCCTCGACTTCAAGGGGGGGTGACTCTAATCTGTGCCACTAAGTCCCCAGCCTCATCTAATCTCCTATGCAGATATCCCCTGTCCTGCTTGTGAGAGAACACAGAGGCAAAATAGTCATTTAGCATGTGTGCCTGTTCCCTCAAATCAGTCACTGGATCTCCTTCCTCCTTATTGAGTGGTCCCACCACTTGCCTCCCCTTCCTCTTCCTATTTTCATGTGGAAAGAAGCCCTTTTGCTGCTCTTGATATTCTTGGCTACTCTCACCTCGTAATCAGCCTTAGCCTTGCGAAGAATCCTGCAACGGCCTCCTCCTCCCGGTATATAATTTTGTCTATTTCCCCCAGTACGCATTTCCTACGCAGGTTCCTCTTTTGTCTAATCCCTCTAGCCACCTCCTTTCGCATCCATGGCGGCACTCTTCTCCGCCTCCCTACCTTACTGACTAGAGGTATCGTCAAGGCTTGCGCCTCCAAAACCTCCCTTTTGAATGCCAGGCACCCGTCCTCAACTCGCTTACCTTCCAGTAACCTATCCCAGGAGACTTTCCCCAGTCTGGCCTTCAGTTGGCCAAAGTCGGCCCTCTTGAAGTCCCAGCTTCTAGTGCTCGATCTGCTGCCCCTCCGCAGTCCCCTGATAACAAAGCAGAGGATGGAGTGATCACTCGCATCCAGAGCTCCCCTAATCTGTACTTCATCTATCAGCTCCTCCCTGTTGGTCAAGACCAAGTCAAGGATGTTTTCCCCCCTCGTTGTCTCTCGGACCCTGCGTGTGAAAACCCTCCCGCTACAGCTTCCAGGAAGTGACGTGACCTGGCTGTCACCGCCGAGTGAGTATCCCAAGTAATATCCGGGAGATTGAAATCTCCCATAATTACTGTGTCTCTCCCATGAGATATCCTCAGAATCTGGCCTGTCAGGACATCACCCAGGGTCTCAAGTTGACCTGGAGGGCGATAACATACCCCACTGCCAGGTCTGTTTCCCTGCCAAAACCCCTAAGCTTCACCCAGACAGCCTCTGTCGAGTCCCCACCTGTGCTGTATCCTATCTCACTGCATCCCATTCCTTCCCTGATGTATAAAGCCACACCTCCACCCCTCTTTCCCTTCCTGTCCTTGCTAAAAGGGTTCACATTCTATGTTCCCTTCTATGTTCACACTCCAGACTTGCCTTTCATCCCACCAGGTTTCTGTGATTCCCACCAGGTCAGGCTAGCCTCTTCCCAGGAGCGCTTCAAGCTCTTCCTACTTGTTACCCATGACCCTAGCATTGGTGTACATGCACCTCAACTCCTTCCCACTTCTTCCTTTTGTTGGAGTTCCCGGCCTCCTCCTTCCTCCCATCCTCCCTGATACCTGGCCCCTCCCTGTAGGAGTCCTGTCAGTCCCTGCACGACCTCTAAAACCCTGCTCCCTGTGCCCTGATCCTCCCCCCACACTTGTCCAGTGCAGACATGTTCCTGGGGTGCCTGAATCCACCCCCCCACTCAGTTTAAAGTCTTCTGGATGAAGCTCGCTAGAGCATCTCCAAAGGATCTTTTCCCCGTCCTCGGGAGGTGTAACCCATCCCTTGCCAGAAGTCCATTGGCAAGACAACGAGTGCCGTGGTCGAGGAACCCGCAGCGTTCCTTCTGACACCACACCCTAAGCCATTCGTTCCCCTCGGAGGCCCTCCTGTCCCTTCCTGGCCCAAATCCCCAGACAGGTAGGATTGATGAGAAGGCCACTTGGGCCTTCAGCCTCTGAGTTCCTTCCCCAAGGCCTCAAAGTCCCTGGTGGTCCCAACCGCCCCCTACCTGGCCACGTCATTTGTGCCCACATGGATCGCCAGGAGCGGCTGGTGACCCCGGAGTGAACAGGACACTGCACTCTGTGCTTCACATGCCGGATGCGTGTGCCCGGCAGGCAGCACACCTCCCTTGTCTCCAGGTTGGGGCGGCACAGTGCCCCTCAGCAGGGAGTCCCCAACAGCAATCACCCGCCGCCATGTCTTCCCGGTGCTGGTGAGCGGCCGTGCCCCGGCTCTCGCCTCTCCTGCAGCGGCCCCCTTGCTGCCTGATGCCCCAGACTGGGGGTCCTGCTGGCCCCCTGAGGCCTCCTTAGCCCCAGCCTCCCAAGGGGAGAGAACCTGTTTCCCAGCTCCAGATTGGTGCAGGAGGAGGAGGGGGCTGTGCTGGCCTCCCCCTCTCGAGGGGGACATGCCTCTATGTCTCCACGGCTGCTCCTCCCATGGCCTCTCCCTCAGCCCTCTGTCCGGGGGGGGCTGCTCCTGGGGGGGGGCTGGGGAGCTCTCGGCCCTCAGACCCCTCACCCCCTCCTCTTCAGGAGGCAGGAAAAGCAGGACATAAGCACACCAGTGACTCGCTCACCAAGGACAGATCCTGCCCCCCTCAAAGGGAAACCAGAGGGGGAGACCAGAGGGACCTTTGCTTCTTCCTGACCTTGTGAAGATCCAGGGTGTCTCCCAGCCGGGGGGCCCTTTGAAGCCCTGGGGGGAGCCTTCCCGGTTGGAGGGGTGGCTTTCTGGGCTCCTTGCCTGCGGGCCAGTGAGGAGTGGCCGGGGCCCTGCATCCACGAAGCGTCCAGACTGAGGCCTGCAGGAGAGACTCTCTGGTTGCGAAGCACAGAGCAAGCCTCCGCTTCGTGGGCGAACAAGCATGGAGAAAAAGGACAATTCTGCAGCTCTTCAGGGCGCTCCGCACCAGCTCCTTCGAAGGTGCACAGCGTGCCTCCCTGGCTTGGTCCTGCCCTGCAGAAACAGACAGCGCCCATCCAGCACGAGCCACAACGAGTGTGGCATGAGCTGGTGATGGCCAGCTCTTGCCCGCCGACGGCTTACCCACCCACAACTGACCAGCGCCGTCCCAACTGCCGACTGCGCTGCCTCCGCCACGTTCCAAGCGGAAGCCGGCTGCTCGCCCTGCCCCGCCATCCCCAGGCACCCTAACCCCCTTCCCCAGCCAGAGGGGACACATAGACCCAGAGCGAGGCAGAAGGGGCCTCCTGGGCCCTCTAGGCTCACCCTGGCTCCAGCCAGCCCCGCTCACGACATGCCCGCCACGTGCACGTCCAGCCCGTCTTTGGACACCCTCAGCGATGGGGCCTCAACGGCCTCCCGGGGAAGCCCAGCCCACCCACTCGGGGTCCGAACCGTCAGGAAGGACTCCCTGGCATCTAAAGGGACCCTGTCTAAATACTGGAGGCAATGGCATGGGAGCAGGCCTGGCTCAGAATCCCGAGCCCGGTGACTGCTGGGCATTTGCTGTTCCTTGGAAGGGGGACCTGACGGCTTCCCCCAGAAGCTGACAGGGCTGCGGTTTTGCGGACCAGTGAGCGCTGGTCAGGCGGCCTGGTTAACGACATCACAGTCACCCGCAATTGCATGCCACGACCCACAGAAATCCCATTATCCTTATCTTCATATCCTGCCCTCAGATGCCATTGGATTGAGCCCCCTCTGCAGACCCCTCACCTTGTTCTGACTGTGTTCACCTTTTTTACTATCCTTTTTTTTTTTTGGCACATTTCTTATTAAGATTTTAAACTAAAGATAAAAAAATCAATCATAAATTACATCAGATTTACTGGGTCAGCCCCCATAACATATCTTTTTAACATTCTATAATCTTATTCAAATTGATTTATAAAAATTTAAAGACATCTTTAAATCTAAGCCAAGTCCCGTTTCTCCAGCCAATCATAAAAAAGGTCCCAAAGCTTGGAGAGAGAGGCCAGGGGTGTGATCCATGCCCCTGAGGGCAGAGGAAAGCGAGTACTTGCTCCGGGGTGTCCAACCACCCGCAGCCCTTCTTCTGCCCAGCCGGGCATCGGAAGGTGCCTTAACACAGTGCTTGGCTTGCTTCTTGCAGAATGAGCAACTTCGATATGAAGAACAACGTAAATGAAAAGGACCCCTCCTCCGAGGATAATGGGTCGTGGGATGATGAGGAGGCCCACTTCTCCGGCCACCCGCCACCCACCCCGGCCCCTCCCCCCTCCAATCGGAGGACATCTCAGATCCTGCCGCAGCTGGTCCAGCCCAGGGCAGGGGCCACGGACCCCAAGAGGAAGGCCCAGCCGGTGGCCCTCCCCGAGCTGGTGCCGAGGCCCCTCGATGGAAGGCACCTGAATCGCGCCCCTGGCAAGTCAGCACAGCAGCAAGCGACACTGCCCAAGGTGTCCGGGGGGCAGAAGGTGAAGAGAGGCACCCCGTGCCCTTGAGCAGGGAGCCCGACGCCCCCATGCCGCTGCAGATGGGTACTGGGGGGGTGGGCGGCCCTGGACGCAGGGAGACCTGGCCCTCTGGCCCACGGGACATGCAGTGCACGGCTGCTGGGCGTCTGCCCGGGCACCCAAACCCAGCTGCCCCCAGGGCTTCACACCCCAGGAGGGTCCCCAGGAATCCGATCCGAAATGCTGGGCAGAGCAATGCATGAGGTGTCCAGGACAACCCTTCTCACTCAGTCTTTTTCAATGTCTCTACGTGGAGGATGAACATATTCATGGGAATGTTGTGAGGGAGGGCATGTGGGTCCGAGACTCAGCTGCACATGGTGGGCTGCAGCATAGCGTGACATGGATCGGAAAAGGGGGGCTTTCATGGAATTCTAAACAACTGGAGGGTTTCTATTTATGTTCTATGTCATTCTAATGTTAAAAAACAAGTTATCACACATATTCACATGAATGTACTTTCATTTGTGCTGAACCTGGAATTCCATATCATAAGTGTTCCCGCATATCTTTATTCATTTTCCTTCCATCCAGCAATTTTCCTTCAAGAAACTCCAGGTGGTTTCTCTTATTCTCCTCCATCTCTCAGGGCTGTCCTCACAAGAACCCTGTCAGGTAGGCCGGGCTGAGAGCCTCTGTGTGGCTCGCAGGCACCCATTGATCTGCGGCTGATTCCAAATGAGCATCAGGACCACCTTTCTGAACTAGCTTTGCTCCCAGAGAGAAAAGGGCTGCCAGGTGTGGAATTCCATGGCTGTGGAGGAGCTGATGCAGCCACTCAGTGGGGAGGGGCATAGAGGACAGATCACGCTGCTGCTGCTGCCCCCATGTCAGTGTCCAATTTTGGTCCTTCTCCAGCCGCAACCCACCTGGGTGAGTGAAAGGGGTGGTTGAGCGACCGATGGGACTCCATTCCTCAGGCTGCCCTGAATGTCCCTCTGCTCAACTCATGGAGGGGTGACTGTCTCCACTGAGCAGAGTGGAGATGGAAGGGCTGTCGGTGTTGGCAAAGTGCCTTGTTGGAGAGCTTGTGGCAGAAGATTGGCTGGACGGGGTTTGGGGAGGCATTGAAGGAATTCCCAAGTTGCACAGCTGGAATTTTAGAAACTGTTTCAGGAATAAATCCCGTGTAGCTGCCATGCTATTGTGGTGGGTTCGTACCCAGAGTCAGGCTCAAACAATTTTGAGGAACTGGGGTTCAGGCTGGACGAGTCCTGGGCAAGAGAGCAGCACCCATTTCCGTTTCTTCCATGAGTCTCGATCGAACGCTGTAGCAATCGAGTTAGGGCTGGGATTAGTGATGCGGCTGGGGAATCCCAGCAGAGAGGTTCAACCATGCATCAAAACACTTCACTCAGGCACAAGCGCAGCAACCTTGCCAGAAGAAGGCTGATTGCATGGCCTGAAGTATGAGTGCTTTTTGGGGGCCGTCTTCATCTGCTTGACCTTGCACAGCAGGTGCAGCTTCTCCTTGCCCTGAGCACGCTTGCAAGAGCAAATCTGCAGCTGCAGGAAGCAGGGAATGGGCTGTGTGCGATGCACAACCATGATGGGCAACACAGCAGTCTGAGAGGGAACACGCAAAATGAGTCACACGCTGCAGGGGAACTATTTTAACCATTCCTAATCTTCTCCCCCTGAAGTCGGAGCACCAATGTTGGAAAATGCCGCTCTCCATGTGGGTTTGTGGAGGGGCAGTGGATGGTCCAGGGATCTGCCCACCAGACTGCACAGGCTTGCTGGGCTTCCAGCCATAGACGTGTCTCCTCCGCTTCATCCTGGTATGTTCACCCCGTGCAAGGGATGGAGTCCCTGCCAGGGTCCGACAGTTTCTGGTGCATGAATTGATTCATGATTGCAAGGAAAAATATATGGCCACACGCCCCTGTTCACTTACTAATATGCCTTCCAGGCTGTGGGCTGCCTTGACAGTGGATCTGAGGAACTTTGCTGACTTTAGAGAATGAAGGGCACCAGCAAGATGCGCTTCCAGGAAAACACTTTATGATGCCTCTCAAATAAGATTCATTCCCCTTCCAGTACTTCCACAGTTTATAAAACCATTAGTAACAGTAATGCATGAAAAGTAAAGTGTAGAGATGGGAACAGGAGTCAACGTGCTGTTTCTCATGCTTTCTTCAGATGCAGAGCATTGCATGAGGTGTCCGGAAGATCAGCATCCAAACGAGGCCCGGGTTCAGTGCATCCCCAAGGTCATCACCTTCCTGTCCTATGAAGAATATTTGGGGTCCTTCCTCACTGGCATGGCCCTACTGTTCTCCATCGCCACAGGAGGCACTCTGGGGATCTTCAGAAAATTCCAAGAGACTCCAGTAGTCAAGGCCAACAACCGTGACCTCTCCTACATTCTGTTTGTCTCCCTCATGCTTTGCTTTGCGTGCTCTTTCCTCTTCATTGGCCAACGAAGAAGCATCACCTGCCTCCTGCGACAAGCAGCCTTCAGCATCATCTTCTCAGTGGCCATCTCTTCCCTCCTGGCCAAAACCGTCACTGTGGTGCTGGCCTTCCTGGCCTCCAAGCCAGGCAACAGGGCAAGGAACTGGCTGAGGAGGAGTTTGGGCACCTCCATTGTCATCTGCTGCTCCAGTGTCCAACTGGTCCTCTCCACCATCTGGCTGGGGACTGCTCCCCCATTCCCTGACTCTGACAAGCACTCTCAGCCTGGGCAGATCGTCCTGCAGTGCAACGAAGGCTCTGTGGCCATGTTCTACACTGCCCTCGGCTACATGGGCTTCCTGGCTGCCATCTGCTTCACGGTAGCCTTCCTGGCCAGGAAGCTGCCCGGGGCCTTCAACGAGGCCAGGCTGATCACCTTCAGCATGCTGGTCTTCTGCAGCGTCTGGGTGTCCTTCGTGCCCACCTACCTGAGCACCAGGGGCAAGTACATGGTGGCCGTCCAGGTCTTCTCCATGTTGGCCTCCAGCGCTGGGCTGCTGGGCTGCATCTTCCTGCCCAAGTGCTACATCATTCTTTGGAGGCCTGACCTGAATACTAAGGAGCACCTCATTATGAAAAGCAAAGCATAAAATCTGTTTGTTTTGTTCATCAGGAGAGCAAAATTCCAACTTTTCTGAATAAACCTGTAATCTATTCTGGGCATATGGACAGTGTCAGAATGAAACAATTTGGCAGACAAATAATGTTTTCCCAGAACTTGACAAGGAACCACCAATGCCGCTTTGAAATCCCTCCAGCTCCATTTCCAGGTTGTGGTCCTTGGGGATGGGAGGGTTCCTTGGAGGTGATCCGTCTGGCATTGCGGATCCTTTCATTTGGCAGCCTGCACTGGGCTGTCTCCCCGGCATATGCTCAAAATGAGGCTTGGTTGCAAAATCACACCAGCAGAGGCCTCTTACCAGAGCTGCCGGCAGGCCCCCAGACTGCTTTTGAGAGCAGGAAGGAAAAGATGCGGAGCAGGGAATGTCTTTCTCCACATGGGGAAGAGTTGAAGAAATCTGTCCCCAGGACTGTGATCTCTGGCTTCTCTCGGAGTCAGCAGGGACACTGCAGGAGGGTGGAGGAAGCTGCGTTTGGAGAAGAAGTCCTGCCAGACTCCTCCTGGATGAACAACCTTGGCCTAGAATCCAGCTCGGACACCTTCTGCGAATGGAGCCACCCTGCTGGGGATGGGTGCTTTAGCCCCTCCCCGATGATTCCTGGGCCATGTGGGAACAACTGGCCCACTGAGCTCAGTGCAACATTTCCAGAATCCCCTCATATTTTGTAGGTTAGGGGTGCATGTACTTGGTGGTCCCCCTCCCTTTCACAGTGCACCATTGAAGGATGGCAGGAGCCAAAACTTGAACCCAGGGGGAGAACATGGGGCATGCAGAGGGGGCAGAAAGCGGGTGAATATTGGGCACTGCATTTTGTATTTATGCCACAGGTATTCTCTGCCTTTTCTCTTCTTTCAAAGAGCAAAAGTTGCTTACAGGTTTCCTGCTTTCCATTTACCCTCTGAGGGAGGTGAGCTCAGAGGGACTGATGGGCCAAGCATCTGCCAGGAGCTTTGACGAAGGGGGAGGGAATAGGACTGGCCCTCCTGCGCCTCCCGCTAGGCACTCCCCCCACCAGGCCCACTGCCTCCCAGAAGACAGTCCGGTCTCCCTCTGGTCTTCCCCGCGACAGTTCAACCCTTCAGCTTGGAGGAATTCCATTCTTTGCTTGTTCAGCATTACAGAAAGCATGCCGGGAGTCTCTGTTCCATGACTACCTGGAAGCATCACAGATGAAGCTTCACTTTTCCCTCAATCCAGGAACAGTCTCGGGATTCAGCACACCAGACACCCAAGCTGGGGGGAAAAGAGCCATGTATTAATGGCATAAAAATACAGCTGGGGGGTTCGTGAGCATCCTGGCTGAAAGGATGAATGAGGGTCAAAGAGGGGAAGGGATGGGAAGGGCAGCTTAACGGCAGCTACAGCTAAGCGCATGTGGCCAGTCAGGAACACCTGGCTCTCAGGGCTGATCAGTCCGTAGGGCAGGAGGGAGGAGTCCCCCATCCCATCCTCAGCTCCCTAGAGAGAGCTTCGAGCTCTCAGGGGCTTTTCTGCAATACGCAAAACAGAGAGGTGCATCATGATTCTCCTGGCACATGGGGATGCCCCCTTTGATGCAGTGTGAAAACGAGGCAACACAAAACACAGACCACATCACTAGAAGCAAAGTATTCAGCCTGTCATCAAATCATCCCCATTGAGCCAACAGTGTAAACCCTGGCACCCAGGACAAGTCATGATATGGTCCCAGGGGCAGTATCTGTGTGTGTGTGTGTGCGCACGCGCGCACGCGCATGTAAGTGGGCAGGGGGATCACAGGGAATTGAGACCAGCTTTGGACACGGGTCTGGTGTCTTCCTGCCCCCTCAAGGGACTGTTTTTGGTGGTCCCCCTGGCCAGGCAGAGAAGACGCAGTGTTCAGAAAATCAAGCTCCCATGCAGGGCCCATCATGATCCATGTGCCTCCCTTGTTGCCATGTCAAGCCTCCGTAATCACCCATACTTAATGTGCTATTATGGTCTCTCCGCTTGGCAGTTTCTCATATTCTCCTTGCTCAAGAACACCTTACCTGCTAAAATATCCCCATTCTTACCCTCATCATCAACTCCACTCCTGTGTTCATGGCTAGAAATCTAGAAAGTTCTCTGTATGTGCGCTGGTAGTTTTTGGTTAGTTTGTGCTGGGTGTTTGCCATTTGGAAGAGATTGTGTGAAGTGGTGGATTGGCCAGGGATGCTTCTGGGATGGTGCATGGTGAGTGAGATTTTGAGAAGCTTGACCGGTGTGAGTTTCGTGCTTGAGGGAGAGAGAGTGAAAAAAGGTGGGAGAGGGATGCAGCTGCTTAACCTTTCAAAAAGGGGGGAAAAAAGAAAAGAAAGGGGGTTGCCCTGCTTGCTAGCAGAAGCCGGGTCTGCGAGGATAAACCTGCGTCCATTGGTTGTTTGGCCAGACTGATCCAGGGGGATGATCTGGCTGGAAGGTATGACCTTCTTATGAACGTGCAAGTGCGCACACAGAGCAACTGAGCATGTGCAAAGCATAAAGCATCCCTGGGAGTCAGATCCACTCTGCTTCCAGCCACAGGTGGAGGCGGACTTGGGCTCGCTCCCGAAAGGAACCTTGGTGTGCCTGAAATAGGGAGGGTTGGTGCCAAAGAGGCAGGGCAGTTGCTGGTCCCAGAGGGAGAACCTCTCAGAGTCCATAGCTTATGTTGCCTCACACAGAAGTTTTGTATGGAGGGAGGACTGATTCAAAGCAGAAGCCTCTTCCAACAAGCTCAGTGAGGGGTTGGGGGGATTGTGTTTCTGGAAGGGAACAGGTCAGGCTAGAGTTGAGCCAGGTGTGGGCCACCATCCAACCAACTTGGCTGAGAGTGGCCTTCCTCCCAGCATCCTGTCCCTTTTATTTGGCCGCATGCAGACTATTCTGGCTGCACTGCTTTGCAGCTTCGGCAAATTGGGCCTCTCCCCCTCAGCTCTGTTAAAAGTGGGCTTTTATCCAGGTTCAGGTCGCCATGAAACACTGAACGATAGCCATGGAGGCCACAGAGACCTGGGCAGCAGGAATGAATGTTGTGTTAGCGAGAGGCACTGCTGCCCCACACTGTATTTTGCCCCACAGCTGGTTGTGTGCAGAGCATGGTCGGCTGTGGGTTGGCCTGGTCTGAGCCAGCAGGTCTTTCTCCTCTCTCAGGGTGAGTCATCTCCACCAAGTCAAAATGGACTAGTAACTCCTTCATCCACCGGTCCCACATCCATGAAAAAAAGAGGTTGGAGGGTAAAAGGGGCCCCCCTGTTGCTCCATGGCTTGAGCACAAGGAGGTGGGGCACAAATCCACCTCAGGATCCCTCTGGAATGGACCAGTGTCCAGCCGGGCAGGAAGGGAAACACCACAGTGGGGCATCTCCAGCCCGGCTGACAGAGCCGATCCGAAAGGACGGTGTGGGATCTGAAGCCACTTGCCTTGCTTCCTACGAGCAGCCAGTGATACAAGAAAACCCCTGCGATCCACACATTGTTTGCTTAGGCCAGCGTGACTCAGGGGGATCCTCTGTCAGCCAGGGGGATCCTCTGTCAGCCAGGTATCACCTTCTTATGAACATGGTAGTGCGCACAGAGAGCATCTGAGCCTGTGCAACCCACAGCGCATCCCTGGGAGTTAGATCCGCTCTGCTTCCAGCCGCAGGTGGAGGCGGACTTGGGCTGGAACCCCAAAGGAATCTTGGTGTGCCTGAAATAGGGAGGGTTGGTGCCAAAGAGGCACGGCAGGTGCTGGACATGGAGAGAGAAACTCTGAGGGTTCAGAGCTTATGTTGCCTCATGGAGAAGATCTGTATGGAGGGAGGATTGATTCAAAACCGAAGTCCCCTTAAGCACGCTCCGTGAGGGGTTGGGGGGATTGTTTTTAAGGAAGGGAACCCTTCGAAAAGCAATGTTTAGTGCACACACCAAGGATTGTGTCATCCAGTAGAGATTCTTCTGATACATCATCCTCTTAGTACGTCCTCATTTGCCACATTCTCCCAACATGCAATGTGTAATATCTCTCTAAGGCAACAAAGACGAAAGAAGGTTCTCTTCTGGGTAATTTTTCTTGCAAGTTTCCAGGTCTCACTTGCATTCGACACAGCACTGGCACTAAATATTCTGCTCGTCCTTTTAATGTCCATGGGGTCATGCTGCAAACAAGCACATATGTCAGGCCACAGCACTTGCGTTGCCTATCAGGCCTTCACACCTGGTTCTGTCCCACATCTGCATCTATTATGCAGCCCAGGTAACAAGACTGCCTCACAGATTTTGGAGCTCTGCAACCAGCGGTGACCGGGGTGCTATCTGGGACGCAGACAAGAAACTTCCCCTTGGCCTCGTCTTCATTCATTCCTCATCCACTTCTGGCTGCAGGGGCCAACGCCATGTCTCCCTGCTGCTACATAGCATTTGCACATAGACCAAAGCTATCAGCAAACCCTGGTCAGCCTCATGGCCTCGCTCTTCTGTGGGGTGCTGAACTCTGAGTGCTTCATTGTTTGGTTTCTCATGGGGTAATCTGTTGTGTTTCATCTGTTGTGAAAATCAGTGGTGCCATTTTCAGTTCTCACACAGCATCTAGAATTATTCTGAAGAGGTTTAGAAATGTGGACGTATTTCTTTTGAATGTCCTATGTTTCCAATTTATATCATTCTTCTCTTGGCATATCTTGGTTTCCTACTTTAGCATTCCAAAACCCCAGCATGATATGGACATCATTTTCACATGTTAATTCTAGAAGATGTTGTAGGCCTTCACAGAACTTGTCCACTTCAGCCTCTTCAGCACCAGTGATGTTTTTATGTTTTGTTAATGTTCTTATACAGTGTGAGCCTCCCTGAGCACCTATAGTTAATAGGGTGGCAGATAAGTCACACACACACACACACACCCCGATGAATTAATCGGACTCTTCATGTCTGGGAGGAGCCTTGGGGTGGCTTCTTGCAGAGCACTCCTCTTCCAGCTTCCTGGGGTGACTTTCAGACCCCAGATTCACTTGTTACCCACACAAAAGTAGACTGAAAAAACTGTCCTTCTAGAATGTTGTCCAATGCCTGATAGCTAAACACGCTCCCGAGCTTTATCCACATTTTGTTTTTCATAATGCAAAATGCATCTGAGGCATGAAATAGTTGCAAAGATCAGTCGCTGATGAAAGTATCGGAGCAGAACATGCGGTCAGTTCAAGGTGGCCTTAGTGCAGATGCTCCGTGCAAATATGCACGTAACACATTGCCTCCAAGTCAGAGGCGGGGGCTTGAGCAATGCGAGGACAGCAATGCGCACTAGAGCCAGATCGGGCAGCGAAGCACATCCGTTTTTCTCACAGGTGTTCCACACTTCTCAGCTCAGTCCAGCCCAATCTGTCCCCTGGCCCTGAGTAAGCCTTGCTGTCTACAGACAGAAGAACCGTCTGTTGGTGTCACATTTGATCCTTTGGAGGGTCACCAAACAGAGCTTAAAGGCCCAGGGCAATGGTGGAAACTTTCCTTGAGCACAAGAGTTAAC